AATTTAATTAAAATTAATATAAAAATTATATAATAAATAATTTAATTATTAAACTTTGAATCTTAATATCTTTATAACTACTAATTCAATTTTTATAAAATTTAGAATATATATTTATCAAATTTAAAGCAATCTGCTTGTATAGTTTAAAGTTTTAATCTTATAAATTAATAATAATAATATTTAAAATATCTTTTTTTTAAAAAAATAATTTTATTTAGTAAAGTAATACTTTATTTATTATTAAATTAAAGTATAATTGAATAATTAAAATAGTATAAAAAGTTAATTTAGATTAATTTTTATTTAATATAAAAATATTATAAAGATTAGTTAAAATTTGAATGATTTTATTAGAAACAATTGTTAATTTTATATTAGTATACCAATCTTTTTGCACTGGATTATATTATATAATATGAATTTACTAATATTTATTTTAATATTTTATTAATGTTTAATTTCTAATTATATTATAATATTTATTTATCCAATTATATTTTATATATATATTATATCTTTAGTTTTACAGATCAAGATTTATATTTATATTTGATTATACTTATTATTATCATTTATTCTTTTTATTAAGATCTATGTATAATTAATCTAGTTAATCAATATAAGTTAAGCTGGTTAAAAGATACTAGTTAAATAATCAAAGTATTTTAATTAAAGTAGAAAACTATATGAGTCAAAGTTATTTTCAAAAGCAAAAAGTTTTGCTTTATTTATTATTAAATTGAAGTATAAAAAATATTAAATAATATAAAAGCTATATTAAAATATGTTTTATTTAATATAAAAAAATATTAATATTTTATATAACTTTTATTAAAAGTGATTATTTTTTGTGTATTTACATTTTTGCATTGAATCATATTTCATAAATCTATATTCAGATTATTATATATAGTTATATTATTAAATAAAATTATATATTTTAATATATACTTCTTTGAGTTGTTATTAAAGAAGATCTATGTTATGAATTTGGATTACTTCTTATCAAAAAGTTATTAAATTTATGTGAACCATACTTTAATGACCTTATGACGCAAATACATGTAATACTCTTGTTCTATTAGATTTACGGATCTCGCTATGTTATAAAACACACTAATACCACTAATACATTAAATATGATAGTCAAAGTTTCCGTCAGGTAGAATGGTAATGAGCTTTTAGATCTTTAATATTACATTAGTAAAATTTACGATTAATCAATAGCAGTTGTATGTATTATTAATTATCCATATGTTTCTTTGAATTTTAATCATATGTTTTCGTAAATCATAATTAGAACAAATATCCGTTTATTGTCTATAATTTTTCAGCCCATATACGACAAGTGGGAAGTAGCGGTCTATATTCGTTTAATTCGCGCGTAGCTGACCGCGCTAAAGTGTCATATTTTTCGTGTGTTATTTTCAGATATGACGAAAGAGGGATTTTTCCTACTTCAAATGTCAATTTCATTACTTGTTCTCCCTAAAGAATAATTTATTAGCATTCTTCTGTAATAAATGCGTATAATAAATATTTTATAATAAAATTTAGATAATTACCAAATCTCCGAGTTTACCTCCCCATTTACCGGTAGGAATCGATTTATTTTCACAATGTATTCCAGATAACTTCTTTGTTTGAGTGAGATAAGATGGTAAATAAGGAGCAATGTTTCCCTGCATTCCTTTAGTGGCCATAAATGATGTCACTAGAGGCAAAACACAAAATTATAACGAAATTAATACGTATAAGACTTTAAATAAAATATCGATGAATTACATGATTCCGTGATGTATTCAATAGTTGGGCCCGCGTTAATCAATTTGCTATCCGATTCCATAAACTCTATAAAACCGCCTGGACGACACACACGAATTAATTCCGGAATAACCGTATTCACCCATTGGTCTGTTGTGAATGCGGTGGACAAGAACCGTATATGAACAAAATCGTATGTATCATTAGGAGAAGATAATTCATCAAGAATATTCTCTATTTGGAATTTTACGTTTTTTGGTTTTACAACGGTCGGATACATTGGCGTGATGTCTATGCCAACAAACGATGAAACCGGATAATCTGTGGCCAATTCTAATATCCTGCAAATAAATTTATTAATAAAGTTATTATTGTTGAAGCTTCTTATAATTACTCAGTATTCTGACAAAAATTAGGCTCGTTACCATATACCTGGCCCGCATCTAAAACAAAATCGATAAGTCATGCGTAGATAGCAATATAAACAAAAAACTCATCAAAGAATAATTACCCAACATCTAATACTTTTGCTCCTTCAGTCAATCTTTGAATCATTGGACTTGAAAAATTCGATTCCCATGCAAATCGTACAAGGTAATGTTGTAATTGGAGCCTCAATATTTCGTTTTCATCGTTAGGCTAGAAAGAAAGGTATAAATATATGCAATAATTGATTAAAAATAGGTTAATTCTCTTTATTTACCAGAAAATAGTTTGTATTAATAGCGATAATATGTTGTGATGACTCGCTAACGATGCTTTCAAAAGCATCGCTTTTTTTTCTTTTTTTACACTGATGATTGTGATCAATTTTCGAAAACGGATTGCCCATATAAAATGTGTATAACGAGTAAATGAATGTAGTAAAGTGAATGTACGTTGTTAGAGAATAAAAAAAAGATTGCTGGGATTCCCCCCCCCCATCTAACTGATATATACATTGTTGCCGAGGCAAATATCAATGCATGGTTACGACAATATTTTTTAGTGTTTATAACTCGGGCTGAAGATAAATATTTACATGAAATGTTTTTGTGATATGTACTTAAGATTTTTTCTACATAATCTTTCATTAGTCACCGCAAATAAAATTTATTTTATATTACATGTACATGTATTTGCGGGGTGTATATGTATATGTTAAAACCAGTGCATATACATGTACAGTACATGTATTTTGATATCATATCGATATTGATATTCTTTGCGTCACGGTAATGTTAATCTTTTTCATTTTGTATCGGTATTAGTTTTTTTAGAAAAAATAATTATTGTTATTTGTCAAGTGCACGTACCAAAAAGCGACTTCCACAAGTTTGAAAAATTAAAAAGAGGTTGATTTACTTGTTAATATCGTTGCATTTATTTACATGTACAACAAAATTGTAAGTAATTGGATGAAACCAAATTATTTAACCACTAGAATTTTGTTTTAATGCCATTGAAATTAAGAATACAAAATGTCACGTAATACATGTAACATGTACTTAAGTACATGTACATGTATCTTATCGTTATCATATGCACATGCGGTAAGGCAAGATTCACGTATGCAAAACGATAATTACATGTATTTTACGATTCGTAACCGTGTAATCTGTTTAAGTAACTATACGGCACTGACTACAAGAACAAGTTCTAGTTGGACAATGGAAAATCTCATCGCTGAACAAGGGTTCGATATTATCTTCGCCATTATAGACCATCTTACTAAATGTACTTATTTCATTCCAATGCATATTTCTGTCACTGTCTGAAGTCACTAAGTCATTTTCAGTAATATCTTTAAATTATATAATTTCAAATCATGATGCCAAATTCATTAGTTGCTTTTAAAATCACTATTTGAGCAAATTGTTACAGCTTTTCATTCTCAAACAGATGATTAAATAGAATATTTTAATTATATCTTGAAAGAAATTCTGAGAATCTATTCTATTTAAAACAGATTGCCAGGATGAATATCTTATCACTGCTGAGTTTGAATATAATAATTCTGTACAAGTATCAACTGAACACATACCTTTCAAGTTAGATTGTGAATAGCACTCTTTATATTAATAATTCTTACTGTTAATAAAAAAGTAGTTGTCATTGATAAATTCATTCAACATTAGTTAAAGTTATTAAAAATCTTTTAATCAAAGCTCAAGATAAAATAATTATCAAAATATATTAATAAATATTATTATAATCAAAAATTTATTAAAAATAATCAAGTCTTATTTTTATTTATAATATTATTAATCTCATGAATAATCAAGAAACTTATATCTCAATATATTAGAGCTTTTATTATTATTAATATTATCTCTTCTATTATATATAAACTGGATTTGTTAAATTATATTTTTTTATATTTTTCTTTTGAAATTATATAATTCAAATAATAATAATAATAAGTTTATATTATTAATTATAATTAGAAATGGACAAATGCATATGTAGTATATTACTATATGTACTATAAGTACTATATATATATATATATATAATAATCTATATATATATATAGTAATCAAATACATAATGTGAGTTTATAAAACTAATAATAATTTTATTTTCTATAACTATTATATATATTTATCAATAATTATCACTATTTCTAATATATTATTACTATTATCTGATATATTAAATTATTTATTATCATTATTATCCTGATATTAACTTTCATTATTATTCTGATATTTACTTTTATCACTCTTATTATTAGTATAATATTAATTAATATTTATTTTATTATTAATACTTTTTTTAATAATTTTTTTGATTATCTGGAAAAGTTTATAATTTATAATTATTATAAATATAAACTAATTTGAAAATATACTTATTATTTAACTGATTTCTTTTTCTATTATAAAATATTTACAAAAACTGACCAGTTATATTCAGAAGCTGCAGATAATATTAGAATTATTAAGATATATTATACTAATTATATTAATTCAGATATTACTTATATAAAATTTTGCAATTTATCAAGTAATTAGATTAATATTATTAATATATTTTCATATTAATATATTACTAAAAAGATTTAATTTGCTTTATATTATATAAGTTAACTTTAGGTGAATTAATATTAAGTAAACTTGTATTAATAATTTTTAAATTTTCAAAACTCATATCAAAAAATAATTATTTAATTTTAATTAAGATATTTAGATATATATATATAAATATAACTTATACCAAATTACTGGTTTATTATATTAATATTTAAAATTTTTACAATATTTATATTTTGTATATTATTATTAAAATTTAGCAATATAATCAATTTGATTAAATATTTTTATATAAAACTTTAATAACAAAGATATAGATATTATTATATATATATTCTATATTAATATAAATATATTTATTTATTAAGTACAAATATTTTAATGAATAATAATTTATAAATTTAATTATATATATAATTATATATAAATATTTATAATATTAGTTAATAATTATATATATAATATATATAAATATATTTTTAGTTGTAATTGAAATTAGAATTAAAAAAAAATATAAAATTATATTGAAAAAATAATTTATAATAAATCTTAATACTTAATTAATAGATAAATAGAATATTTTCTTTATAATATTACTTAAAAATTTCTAAATTTTTTTAATATAAAAAATCTTGTAAAAGTTTTTAAGTTTTTTAATTTAATAAAAATAAAAGAAAAAATATATAATAATTTTAGTTTTTTAGTTTTATATTATATTATATTATTATAATATAATTATTATATTATATAAAAAAATTATATTATTTTATTTACTTATTATATAATATTTAATAAATTTAGTTATTATTTGAGTTTTTAAAAGAAAAGTATTATTTACTTTAATATCTTTAGTAAATTCAAATTATATAAGTAAATTTAAAAGAGAAATATATATTTCTTATCCAATATTATTATTAATAAATAATTCAAAAATTGAAAAGATAATTATTTCAAAGAGTTATTAATAAGTATTTTCTGATATATTTCTCCAAGTAATTTAATAATTTGAGATGAGATTCAAGTTAATAATTGAGATATGATAAGATAATAAAAGTGATAAATATAAAATAATAAAAAGAAGTAAAATATAATAAAAATAATAGGTATTAGACATAAGATGAAAAGAATAAAAGAATAAAAAAAAGTAAGAAGAAGAAAGAAAATATTTCTATAAATTCTAAACTAATAGTCTATTAAAAATATAATATTAATATTAAAATTTTTGTAAAAGATAAATAAAAATAAGAATAAAATATGATAGAAGATAAATTTAAAGATAGATATTATAAAAATTAAAAGAATATCTATATAAGTTACTTAATAATAATTTATTATTCAAAATAATCTTGATAATTATAATAATATTTGACTTATCTTCTATTAATAGAATATTTAAGAATATTTCTATTTTAAGTTTGAAGTTTATAAAAGTTATATCTCATATAGTTATAAATATAATATTATTTTTTACTTTAAGTAAATTAAAACTTATTTTTAATTATCAAATATTACTTTATATTTATTTCTAATTTTGAATATTATTTCTTTTTGAATTTTATTATTATATCTTTAAGAATATTATAATTATTTATCTTTTATATTTTATTTTGCTTTTATAATTTATTAAAGTAACTAATTTACTATGTGATATATTCATTATATTAATTTTTCTTCTTTTGTAAAATCTTTTTTAAATTAATAAAAATTTTTAATTCAATTGGTAATCTAATACTTTATTTATAAGTTAAAAAAATAATTTATATTTCAGTTTGAAGTTTCAACAGGAATTCAGGCTTCTTTGATTATGATTTCAATACTATTATCATCTTGAAATTCTTGTTATCTAGGAATTATAGTATTCCAATTATTATGTTATTAACTAAGAAAGATCTTTTTTTCCAAGTATTATTTCTCAAATTTACTTTCAGAATCTTCTTCTAATTCATCTTCAGAACTAATATCATTAAATATCAGTTCTTCTCTATCATTATAGATAAATTTAATTAGTACTTTTTCTTTTTAATCATCATATTTAAATGTGAGTAATTCTTTTCTAATGTTAATATTGGCTTTAATTTTATTTAAAAAGTTCATATCAATAATTACTGAGTATAT